TGTTCAAGTACAATAAAGAAATATAAAGGACAGTGAGGCAAATCTGCTTTTAAATATTCATCTCAAATATTTTATCATTGTGCTTCAAACAGATTTAATTGCATTGTGTACCATACCAAGAATGGCACAAAGATTACAGTGATCCTCCCCTTGTTTCTTAAAAGTAGACATTCTAAGACAGTTCTTGGAAAGACAGACATACAGGCTACATGCAGGATCTCCTAACGGGTATCAGAATTAAAAGAGACCCACCCATGGTCAGAATCCTGGACGAAAGAATCAAAGGTGAAAGACTGGGTAGGCTCACACATGGTGTGCTCTGGGAGAGCAGGGATGAGTGAGCTTTGCCCACAAAGTGTACATAAAATGTCCAGAGCTAAGCTGTCTGCAGCTGACATGATAGTGGGTCCTGTAACTGGCATTATCTGTGGTGGTAAGAAGTCAACAACGAGGGGCTTTCAGAGCCAGGGCCTTGGCACCCTGAGATTCCTCAAATCCTGGGTTGGAGTTTTTGCCTCAGAAACTCATACCAGAGGTGAGGATGGCACTATTCACTGAGTGGCAGTAACAATGCAAGTTCACACACAGCAGGGCCTCAGCAGAAGGTAGTCCCTGGCCTCTCCTCTTCTCCACCACCTTGATGCCAGCTGTAGCCCCTCCTCACTTATCCTAAAGGGTAGGGTACAGTTTTAATGACAGGGTTGGAGAGCTGGAAGGAGGGACATCTAAGGGCTCAATACCTACACTTACGGGCTGAGCCTTGTCTTCATCTCAGAACTGAAGAAGTAACAAGATAATTGTCATTTACTTTGTGTGCTGGGGATGGAACCCGGGTGCAGGCAAGCTAGACAGGTGCTCTACCACTGAGCTGCACCCTAACCTTGCAACATGGCAATGCTGTGTTACATGGACTGTGGCCTACTTCCTGCACAGACTTGGGGTGAAAGGCCGGGTGGAAGACTGTGCTCAGGGATCCACAGTTTAGGAGGCTGTCAGAACAAACCATGCACCTGTGCTCAGGTCTAACTCCACACAATACACATAGAAGCTTTGACAGGAAACATTTAACTTCACGTTCTGGATTAAGAGAGACATGGTGAACAGCAGAGAGCAGAGTCCTTACCTCTGCTCCATTGGCAGGGTCAAGAGGGACTTCTGAGGTGGACAGTTCTCATCTGCTTCTGCTTCAGGCAACCACTGATGTCAGGGAAGCTCTCCTGCTTGCCTGGGTCCAGCCTGTGGAACCTCAGCAACTAGACACAGAACAATTTCAGAATTACAGAAGGTCAAATGCACAAGCACAAACAGGCTTGATTTCCGTTCCTTCCTGCCAGACTGGAAAGAGGAGCAGAATTCAGTACCAGAATTACTGGGTTGTAATGTGGTGAAGGCAGGAAGACGTCTCTTTTGATCATAGTTCTTGGCACATAATAGATGACTCCTTGAATTAATCAAATTGTCAATCAGTGGAGAGCAAAGAGGCAATTCTAAGGTTGTTCAGACTCAGTTCAAAGGAAACTGGAGAGGCCAGGCTGGCTGGAGAGGAGTAAGGAGAAAAAACTGTTAGGATGTATGTTAATAGCATTCAATTCTATCAGGTGAGTGCTCTTAAACAGCTCGGCTGTTGAATGACATCAATTGACCAAAGAAGTGGCATTGAGCCAGGAATGCAGTATTCCAAACTCTGGTTCTGACACTCTCAGCCCTCCTGTAGCAAGCTCTGGAAGTCCTGATTTCCTCACCTGAAAACTGGAAGTAAGAAATTCAGCAACACCTTGAGAGGGTTAAATACCCTCACAGCAGGAGCCGGGTGCTGGTGGCTGTAATCCTAACTACCCTCTTCTGAGGCAGAGATCAGTAGGATCATGGTTTGAAGCCAGCCCAGACAAATAGTTCCATGAAACCCTACCTAAAAAACCCTTCACAAAAATAAGGCTGGTGGAGTGGCTCAAGGTGAAGGCCCTGAGTTCAAGCCCCAGTACCACAAAAAAAAAAGAGAGAGAGAAGACATAGCAAGAGAGCTAGGCAGTGTCTCAGTATTACAGTGCTACTGCATATGGTGCTTGCCTGGCCTGGGCACGGCCCTGAATTTGATCCCCAACACTGCAAGAAAAAAGAAAGAAAAGAAACTTAAAAGAAAGAAGGTACAGCAGGCAATAGCTCGGTATAACTCTGTTTGATTTCAAGGTCATTAAGTCACCATTTGTAGTCAATTGTAAAAAGATGGAAGGGTATTTTCAGTTGCATGTGTATCAATAAATTCTTAATGCATTTTGTTGCTCTTTATCAAAGCATCCAAGTCCTTTGGCTCTCCTATGAGCGGACATTGAAAATAAGCCTGTATCTTTGGTATCTTCATTTTTTTCTAACTCTGCTATCCAAGCCACACAAGTTAACTTCTTTTTTTCTCAGTCCTGGGGTTTGAACTCAGGGCCTCATACTGGCTAGGCAGGTGCTCCATCACTGAACCACATACCCAGACCCTGCTGAATTAATTGTAAACCTTAAAAGTCCTTTATTATTATGATTATTATTCAAATTCATGATTTTTAACATTCACTGATTTTTAACATTCACTGAGAGTCCTGAAATATTTCTCTTCAGGAAAATGGTCAAAGTGTAGCACACACAGGAGAGACATTCCAAACCTTGCTCTCTGTGCTCTGTTCCTTTCTATGCCTCTTACCTTTCCCATCCCTCCACCTGCCAACTCTGCAGTTTCTGAACCTCTGCAGACAATTCTTTCCTTTCACATAACTTGGAAGGCCTCCCCTTCTTCCCAGAGTGCTACCTCCCAGTGAAAGTCCACAGGGCACTTTCCACATACACGTGTCACTCCATCCCCTTGTTCTTGTTAAATACAAGAATGGATTAGCTAGTTCTGAAATTCAGAGTTCATGGTAGGAAAGTGCTCTTTGGAGTCTAGAAGTCCTTGCTCTGAAGCCCGGCTTTGTCACATATTCCTTGGAGGACCACTCTGATTCTCAACATGGCTTAACCCTCTTTAACCTTTATTTTTAATTCTTTATTATTATTTTATTATCTATTTATTTTTGGTGGGACTGGGGTTTGAACTTTGCACTTGCAAAGCAGGCTCTCTACTGCTTGAGCCACACCTCTAGTCCATTTTTGCTCTGTTTATTTTGGAGGTGGGGAGTGGGAGGTCTCATGAACTATTTGCCTTGGCTGGCCTTGATCCTCCAGCCTGCCGATCTCAGTCTCCCAAGTACCTAGGATTACAGGCGGGAGCCACAGGCAGCGCTTGGCTTTTTTTTTTTTAAATAGAAAGTAAATGAATGTCCTTTGAAGTTTTAAGAATTCATTCATTTTATAGCCAGTAAAGAGTTTTCCAAAAGTGAAGAAAGTGTACTTTGTCAGAGCACATAGGGATGAGGCCAGGTGCAGGCAGATGCCCTGCAGGCCCAAGTGTCAGCACCCATTTCCACCCTGAGGGCTCCACTTCCATGCCTGTGTCTTCAGCTTGGGCTGAGGCTCAGTGCTGCCAGCCCTTTGGGAAGATGCTCTAGCACTTCACAAACCTGCAGGAGTAGCTTTCTAATACTTCTATAAGTTAGTCACACAGTTTAAATCCTCCAAAGGAAACTATGAAGGAAAAGAGATATTAACAGTACCACTAAGCACAGCACAGGTAGCTCACGCCTGTAATTCTAGCTACTCAGGAGGCAGAGATCAGGAGGATCCGGTTCGAAACCAGCCTGGATAAATAGTTCTTGAGACCCTATCTGGAAAAAACCCATCACAAAATAGGGTTGGTGGAGTGGCTCAAGGTGTAGGGCCTGAGTTCAAACATCAGCACCACAAAAAACCAAAAACTAAAAAACAAAACCAAAAACAAACAAAAAGATCCAGTACCATCACCTCGCTCTTTGCTAGGGATTCTCAAACCTGAGCCTGCTTGTATCAAAATCCCTTGGAAGGTTTGGTAAGAAGACTTAGGTGGCTGCAACCCAGGGCTGCAGCTTGTCTGGGAAAGGAGAATCTGCATTTCAAATGGGCTCTGGTGATGCTGACCTGCTGAGCCCGGACCACACTGGGAGGAGCATTGTGTCTTGCAAATCAGGTGAGGCAGTGTGGCAGAACCAGGCTGCCCTAGGGTAAGTCTGGGGAAATATTTAACCTCTCTGTAGGTCTTTGGTTTCCTCCACTGTGAAATGCACCCATCTCAGCCAGCTGCCAAGAGCTGAAATAAGCTACAACACAGGAAGCACGTTAAGCGGCAGCTGGCAGAGGTAGGAAGTGCTTAAAACAAGGGTTAGTTATTATTATCAGTACTACACCAGGTTCTGCTTCGTTTCTCCACCACCAAGACATTAAGGTGCACAACCCCTTCCAAGCTCCTCCACTGAAGCCCAGGCAGCGGCTTCTACTCATAGCCTCCCCCTCTAATTTATTAACAAATAAAACTTCAATATTTAAAAGTCAAATATTAAATGGGGGATAAGTAGGCTACAATATATGTTTCAGATGAAGAGTTAAACATGGCTGTTGAGTAGGGCTCGTATCTCACTTGAAGAGTTGAGTTTAGGGTTTGCCAAAAATCACAAAGGTTTTTCGGTTTTGTTTTTGGGTTTTTTTTTTTTTTTTTTGGCAGGACTGGGGTTTGAACTCAGGGCTTAACACTTGCAAAGCAGAGGTTTTTCGGTTTTTGGGGCGCGATGTGCCAAGGGCAAACTCGATGACAATGATGACAAGTGACGTCAGAACCTACTCTGAGGACGTGACCTAAGAAGTCACTCAGAGGAGGCTCGCTTTCTCTTTTCCGCAGTCTGAACCTGGTGTTTTGTAGACACAGCTGAGAAAACCGGGCTGTAAACGAAAAGGCCTGGTCAGCACTGTTTTAACGCACAGTGCTTCCATATAGAGATGCACTTCAACGTATTTAGGGAGAAATAAATACTTTGATTCAAACCACGCTGCAAAACAGGGAACCTCAAAGGACCATTTTGAGCTCTCGACCTCAAAGAGGGAAATCGACCAACCAACACTGACAGCTTGCGGGGGAAAGGGTGCGATCCACAGCAGATTCGGGGACAACGGGGCACCGAGCCGGCGAGCCGGGCTCTGCGCGGCCGGCACGACAGAGCGGGCCCGGCCCGGGCGTGAGCGCGGCTCTAGTGGTCGCCGTGCGGGATCGCTGTTTTCTTCGCAGCTTTTCTCTCGGTCTCGGTTCCGGGCCGGGCCACCCCGCCCCAAGGCCTCATCGGCGCCTCGCCGCGATGGCGAGGGCGGGAGCGCGCGGGCCGGCGGCTGCGCGGGCGCCTGGGCGGCGGAGATAAGGCGGAGAGCACAGCCAGCCTCGGCGCGGCAGGGCGCGGCGGGGGGGGGCGGGGCCGACGCGCCTCGGCCTGGACCAATCGCCAGCGCCGGTGACGATTCAAAGGCCTGCGGACCAATGGGAGCCCAGGGCGGTCTCGCCGGGGGCGGGACTGCAGGGCTCCAGATCGCGGCCCTCAGCGTCGCGCGGGGAACGGCGGCGGCTGCTGCTCGGCTGCTCTCCCGGAGCCGCTCGTGTTCCCGCCGGACCCGGCAGGTGAGGCCCCCCCCGTCCCGCCCCGCGCCTCCCGCCGCGCTCCCCGCTCCTCGCCGGCCACCGCGTGGCGGCCGAGACCCTGGGCGGGGACTCCGGGCCTGCGCGGCGGCCTGGCCTCGCGTTCCGCTGGTCGGTGGGGCGGCAGAAGCTCGGGCCCCGCCGTGCGGGGGCGGAGTGTGGTTCCGGGCCTTTGTCCCGCCCGCTGCGCGGCCCGGCGCTGACAGGGGGCGGGGGCGGGGGCGGTGACAGCGGCCTCGAGGGCCCCTGGCGAGCGTGGCGGGTGCCGGGGTCCCGCCGCCCGGGCGGGGGACAGGACAGTGGGGTCAGCCGGGCCGGGCGCGGCGCGGGGGCGCGTGGGGCTCCGCGGGCCCCGTCGGGGCGGCGTTTCCGTCGCGTTCGTCCCGGCGAGCCTGACGCCTTCGGGAAGCTGCCGGGCCCCGTGAGCCCCGCTAGTTCGGAAAGGTGAAGGGCGGACGCCGGCGCGCATGGTGACACCGTGGGGCCGGGGTGGCCGGGGCCCCGTGCTTCTGCCGTTCGGGGGGACTGAGCACCGTGGCAGGGGCTGTCCGCACTCACCGAGGGCATCGCTTCGTGGCGGGCCCAGCTCTGGTGGCCGTCCTGGCCGGTTGGCCCCGCAGGACGGATCGCGCCGTGGCCGATCGCGCACCCCTCGCGTGCGCACAGCATCAGTTGCTGCCTTCATCTTTCGGGACCTGTGTGTAGAAGATTGCGGCCTCCTTAGGACAGGAACTGTCACCCCCAAGTCTCAGCTCTTTAACTCTCTCCTCCTCCTCCTCCTCTTCAGTCCTGGGGATCAAACCCAGAGCCCAGCACTGGCCAGGCACTACTGCTGACTCCACCCTCCGCCAGCCCTTAAGAAAAGTAAAAGAGAAGAAAAATCTTAGAAACTCAACAGATTTCTACAAGATATTTTAATTTTTTTAAACTCAGTATTTTAATCGGTGATAGGAAAACCTTTTGGCATTGCCCTGTGTTCAGTACCGCACATCCGTGTTTATGCAGTGTCTAATAGGTGCAGTGGAAAAATGCCAATGAATGGATTTTTCAGAAGGTACAGAAAGAATCTGTTCAAGAACCCTTTTAAAGAGACAGTGGCCCCAGAGGCGTGGAGCACTCATTTTTTCAAAAGTCTGTGAAATGTTTTTTGAAACATGAATGGCATGCTCAATGCAGAAAGACATAGTTGTCGTCTTCACACCCTGGCTGACCAGCGTAGGAGAACCTGGTACTGACAGGTGGTTGATTTGGGCACTCTGGCAGGAGGGGCGCATTTCCTTCCTCTTTCTCTGCTCTGAGCTGGATGTTGAAATTGGCAAGCTTGCTGTTGTCACCTTCCTTTTTTGTACCCCTCCTTGTGCAGAGGTGTTCACTGCCGGCCACCCCCTCCCCCTTTCCCAAGTGCCCCTCAGGTGACTACTTATCCAGGCCCAACTACATTTCTGAAGCTTCTGGGCTCTTCCCCTCTCCCACCCCAAACCTGTTCATTACCCTAGTGATGCTATCTCAAGAGCTAGGAAGATGCAGTCTCTTTAATGTGCCTCTAATCACCAGATAAGTATTTGTATTTTCTTTCATCTACCAACTCAGGGCCCATATCTAAACAAGTGAAGCTTGTTAAGTGTTTTTCTCAGATGATTAACAGTAAAGAAATGTACCTAGGACTTTTTCTCAGGAGGAGGAGGCAAGGCAACTTTTTCCTTAAATCCACAGTCTTCAAAAGTTCTTAAATGTTACTGTTAGTGTTGTTATTCAGCTCTTGACAGGAACCTGTGAGAAATGTGTATTTATATGCTTGGGTGATGTAGAGACTTGCTTAGTTGATGTTCTCTCCTAAGGTGAACATCTTGCTGTCTGCTTCTTGCTATTTTGCTTGGCATTAGGGACACTGGTTTTATCTTGTGGAAATGTGTATCTGTTAGTCAGTGAAGGGAGAAACCTTACAGCTTAGCTGCTGGAAGCACATAGCAATCCCTTCATATTTCAAAAAGGGTAGCAAACCTGTCTCCTGTGAACCTCATGTAAGTCACAGTTCTTTGTGGTACTGATATCCATCCCAGGGTCTTGAGCATGCTAGGCAAGTACCTTACCACATGAGCTAAGCCCCTAGCCCTTTGCTTATATTTTGTTTTTGAGAGCTGGGCTCGAACTTATCTTCTACTCCCCTTCCCAGATAGCTGGGTTTATAAAGTGAGTGGCACCACACCTGTCCTGACAGTTCTTGAACATTGTGGCTCCTTGAAGTGTACACGGAGTTTCCTGGATATTATAATTGGGGTGAGTGTTTGCTGTAGGCTTGAGAGAGGAGAACTTGTGCGTGCTGATCCAGGTATGTGGTGGTAGAAGTTAGTTGGTATTCTTTGGGCTTTTGTTCTAAGAATTGAAACTTTATGAAATAAGCTGCAAATTTGCTATTCATTATAGATTTGAAATTCTTCTTCCTGTTGGTGAGTTACAGTGCACATCCGTGACCTTTTCCAGTCTGTTTTATACTTTGTTGTCTCCAGTAAGGTAGTTTGTTAAAAATATAATGAAACGCATTTTTAAAGCCTTTGAAAGTCAATATGCAAATTTACAAATATAAAAAAGTCTTTTGTGAGATTGTGTCCTGGTTTTTGATCACTCTAGGTGGATAGCATTTTGCATAGTATAAGCTGTTTGCTGCCTAGTATGTGTTGTCATACTTAATCTTTTGGTCACTTTCTGTAGCACAGTGGCTGGCATCCTCTATAAAATGATGCAGTTGAGATACAGTGAAGCTGAGAGAACAACTTCTGTGTTGTCTGTCTGCCATATGTATCTGTTTTTTTGCCCTTGGTCAAAACCATTAACTTTAAGCTTCAGTTTTGCCACCTGTAAAATAAGGAGTTTTATGTCCCTCTGGAGGTCTTTCCAGGCCCTAAAATCTGGGAAGTTGTATTTTAGTGACTAACCTATGGGAAGAGACAAAATATAAGTGTAAATATTGACTCAATGTTTTTGTTTAAAATTTAGACTAATTTTAGAAAATGCCAAGTAGGAAATTTGCCGATGGTGAAGTGGTAAGAGGTCGATGGCCTGGCAGCTCACTTTATTATGAAGTAGAAATTCTGAGCTATGACAGCAGATCCCAGCTTTACACTGTAAAATACAAAGATGGAACTGAACTCGAATTGAAAGAGAATGATATCAAGGTAAGAGCATCTTTACCTAAGCGCAGTTACAGTAAGAGGGAGTGACTACAGGTGTGGTTTCTCTATCTCGGTGTTGGGAAGCACATGCTGGTTTTGGCTCGGGAAATGTGTGAATGAGGAGGCACTAGAAGGACATCAGGTCCTGGGGAAGATAGGTCTTCATATTGGAACCCTGGGGTGAGGGGTCTGCTGTGGGACTTCCCAGCAGGCTAGTGAAGGGACTCCGGGTTTCAGGGGTGACACCTGAGGTGAGTGCTGAGGACAAATGAGAAAACTCAGGTGATGGAGGAGTGGCTTCTCAGGGCAGCATGCCAAAGGCTTGGGAGTGATGGGGAAAAGTGCCAGAAGGGTGGGGTACCTGGAGGCCATACTGGAGGAGTGTTTAATACTCCATGTCCAGGAGTTTGGCCTTCATCGCCAACATTGGTTTAATTAGAGAGTAACTTAATTAGATCTGAATCTAGCCCATGGCTTCTCAACCTATCTGGGTTGTAAGATACCCGATTCATGGTTCACAACTACTTATAAAAATTTCTGTATAGCTATTCTCATTTGCTACCTGTTGCACATTAGTTTGGACCCCTGGGCTGTGGGTCACATTTGCAAACTCTAGTAAATATTTTAGGTTTTATAGGCCATACCGATTCTGCAGCATGGGAGCACCTCCAGGCAATATGGAAATAGACATGCTGTGTTCTTTTTTTTTTTTTTTTTTTTTTTTTTTTTCAAACTAACATAACAAACTGGTTTTGTTTATTGAAAAAATATAAGCAAAAGAAAACCTGATGAATGTTGGAATTTATAACTTAGGGATATAGCTACAGAGATGGTTGGTAGAGAGCAGCCATGCCATGTTGGTGCACATTTTTGGAGGTTTCTAAACAGAAAACCACTTATGTAAGGGAAATATAGGCCCAAAAGTGACTCAATGGAGAGGAGTGATCCTGGCCAAAGAGATTCTTTATTGCTGGTGGGAGAGGGAGAGAGCAGAGAAAACCAAGAGAGAAGGGGGAGAGGGGGTCAGGGCTTAAATAACCCTCAGTTAGGACTCAGCAATGATCTGATTGGTTAGGACTTTGGTTCATGCTGATTTGGAGGTTGGGCAGAAAGGAGGAGATTACAACCTAAGACGTTGCATGCGCTGGACTAGTGACGGTCATAGGGAGGCATGGACCGCGTGAGCACCTGGAAACCATGCAAGCTTAAGGGTAGCAGTAAGAACTGAAGACCTTCGGGTTGCCATTACTTGCCGACTACATCCTCCCGCTGTTTTTTGATTGATTAAGCGAAAGGGGCGATGTGTTTGCTCTGGCCTTCTTCGAGGCTGGCAAGGGGCGGTGTGCAGGGGAAGGGAGCGGTAGTTTGGCAAACAAATGTTGGGGTGGTGACGTCTCTATGATGGTTAGTACACTGCCCGGCTCCAAAGATGGAAAATTTCTTACTTCCCTGGAGTTAGTGAAGGTTCCTTGCAGCCAACAGGTCATAAAAGATGTCTCGGCCCAATCTCCGACGCTCGCATGGTGGGGTATCCACACAACTCGTCATCTTTGGCATTTTGGAAGGAGGTTGGTATTCCCTGAGGTAAGCAACACTGGTTTAAAGACTTTTGATTAGCAAGCAGAACATGGTAGTATGAATACAAGGGGAGAAAGCCTTACAGAATAGGAGAGCGAGAAACATAGGCATTTAAGGATGGGCATTGGCCAGAAGAACCACATGTGAAATGTTGTTCCCTAGACAATTTTCAAGAGTCCTCCAATTCCCTTCTCCATTTTTAATTGTTTCTTGAGAGGTGTTGCCATTGGGGAACATTGAGCTTGACAATAGTGGGTGTCAGAAATGACAATGTAGGCTGTGTCCATCGAAGTCCCAAATGCGAGAGGGTAGAATATCCTTTTTGGAGAACAAAGATGCCTGGTTTAACAGAAATTGTTATAGGGTGGGGCAGGATCTGGTTCTGTATGCTCTCTGAGAAAGTTCCTGAGAAGGCAAGGTAGTCAGCCAGAGGAGCAGAGTATGTTGGAGGCAAGTTTTTCTGGAAGAAATGGGTGGCCATACATTATCTAAGACCCAATAGGAATATTAGGAGGAACAGTAAAAAAGGTGTCTGTTCAGGGACTGACATACCTAGGGATCTACAATTCTGCAAATCCTGTAAAGCTGCCAGGAAAGCGTACCGTGTCTTATGGTATGTGCACGATGGTGGGAGAATGTGGGACAGGAAGATATGAGGTTGATGCATTTATGACTCAGTGAGTGAGTCCTGTCCCTTTAAGGCCACACACTAGGTAGGTGACCTGTGGGAGGCAGGGATTGTCCAGGATTTAAATGTGACATCTTGGAGTAAAAGAGAGCTTTAGCTCAGCATTATTTTATATAAATTGACCTTTTAACCTTTTAAATGGTTGTACCATATTTAGATAAAGTATAACAACACTGTTATAAGTGGTCATTTAGACACATTTGTTGTAGAGATGTCTACTCAGAACAGAACAAATAATTGAAGATAACGCTTGTTATTTAGATAGACAGTAGAGAATTGACTTATTTTAGTTTGACATGACCCTAAAAAATCTTTTAGGCAACTCTTAGATTATATTCAACTTTAACTTTATCACACACTGAAGATTTATACACTTTTTCAAACTTACTCAGACCTTTCATACAACATACTAAACCCTTATGATGGTTTGTCCTTATCCTTCCTATTTGAAACAATTTTAGGAAAAACCCTTCTTTGCAAAATCCCTTCTCATCCAAAAACCATTCCTTTCTCCTTTAACTTCTCAAAAAATAACATTCATTACCTATCTAATCCTTTCCAGTTGTTTACTTTGGTAACTTGTATTTTAACAATTAACCTTTATAAGAATTTAAATTTATTATAGGGGTGGAGCAAACTAACTAGTAGCCCTTGTTGTTAAGGAATTATGATAGAGCATAAGGCCTATGTCCTCAGGATTGGAGGGGATATTGTTTTAGGTGTGGAAACCTGTGAGGGATTTTTGAGTTTTATTGAATAGGGAGTGGCCGTCCTGGCTCACACCAGCACTCATCTCATCAGTTCTACACAGTCTGCTGTGGACGTCTTCTTTGTTCCTGAAGGAGGGGGACACAGAGATACTGCCTGGGGGGAGAATTTGAGGCTTTTTAATTGAGATAGCAAATCCTGTCGCATCGGGGCACTAGTTTCAGGTACTATGAGGAAAGAGTGACAGAAGAGCAGGTCTCCCCAAGAGCAGCCAGAGGCCAGGTAAACTAGTGCTCTAGGGGCTGGCCAGATTTGCCCCGAATGAATATTTTGTCATTGGACCGGGACCAGGAGAAAAAGGGTAAACAGAGAAACGGGCCTCCACTGTCTAGGAGGAAAATGACCTTATTTGTTTGTTCTGCCATTATGGCTCCTCAACAACTTGATGCCAAGAAGGGGAAGTGTGGACAGGAGGCTTGGACCCATCAATCCATAGAAGGTGGCACCTGGGATCGCCTTCCATCTGGTGACGAGGGCACTTAGACTCCAGGTGGTGTTATCCTTGCAGAGGGCAGGGTCCTGGTTGGGGGGTGGGGCTGTTTCTCGTGCTGTCCCCCATTCAGCATCTCTGCAAGAAGTGCCCCTCCTGTCCACCATGGTAGAAGTTCAGGATACAGGCCCCAGTTCGGGGTTGCGGGCCTCTCTGAGAGAGCAATGAGCCATGGTGTCTCTTATCTTTTTCTCTCTGTGTTAGTGGAAGGTCCTGGACATACAGACATAGCCATAATACAGACATGGCTAGCTGTTGTGACTTGGTTCAGTGACTTTTCGCCTCAGCCACAGTCTGAGTTTTTTACGAATATCTGGGGCTGACTGTTAGAAATTTATTCTTTGGAGGAAGAACCTCTCTCACGCGTTGACTCTGAGTCCACCGTGGTATGCTTTCGGCTGATAGGTTGTTGCTGTAAGTAAAGTTTGTTATTTTACACTGGACACCTGACACTCTGGAGAGCAAGTCTCTGAACTGTTCTGGGCCTCAGTTTCCTCGCTTGAAGAATGAGGGATCTGGTCTAGGTTAAACTATGTTTTTCTACTATAAGATGGCTGAAGTGACATTAATGCCACTTATCTTCTTTACCATTATTTATTTATTTATTTATTTTTAGTAATGCTAGGGAATTGAACCCAGGGCTATTGCACTAGCATGGGACAGACATCTTTCTCCACTGGAGCTAGTACTTCCACGCCCCTATATACTATCTATCATGGATATTATCTACTTTGGCTGTACTGGACTTGAACTCAGGGTTTTATGCTTGTAAAGCAGCACTCTACTGCTTGAGCCATATAATTATTTCCAACCTGAGTGGTCTGGGCCAGAACCCATTGCTTTTCTAATGAGATAAGAGTCTGGTCTAGTAGAAGCAAAATATCCTTTCATGTCAGTTGAAAGGTTTGGATCACAGAGCTAAAGGCTTGAATGTGTTTGTCTGGGCATCAGTACAGCTGTTTAGATGTTTTTAAATTTCCCTTAGATCTGATAACTGAAAGGGGACATATGATTTGCTCTCTTCCTACCATTGCCTGTTGAAGAGGGAAGCACTCATTAAGAGGTTCTGAGTGACATGCTGTGTTCTAATGCAACTTTATTTATGCATACTGAGATTTGAATTTCAGTGAACTTTCATGCCAGGAAATGTTGTTAGTTTTGGTTTTGTGTGCAGTCATTTAAGGTGTAAAAACAATTCTTAGCTCCAGGGCTACCCACAAAAGAAGTGAATGAGTTGTATTTGGCCAGAGGGCGTGCTTTGCCTTCCCTGGTTCTAGATCCCCACAAACTGGAAGGAGTGACTTGGAGGGTCAGGATGGGATAAAACAGTGCCAAGTAACTAAACATAGACCTTTCAAGACCTGTTTGTGTGTTTTCAGAGGGAAACTGGGGGGGTTACTTTTTTTATTGGTTATATGCTAGTTTCTGGACTATATATAATACTGTTTTATAGCATCATTATGCTTGATCACATTCACTATTCAAGGATGACAGTTTCAGAGGGATGACTTTCAAAGCGTGTGGTTGAAATATCAGGGTGTGTAGAGCCTGTAGACACCACACGCAATTGTCACCTCAGTTTAATCAGTCAGTTGTAACCCTTGTATATGCTGTTGGAAGTGTGTAGCAACTGGGTAGAAACATTCATTCCATGGAGACACCTTCAAAGAACAGTTAGGGATGCGAAGGCTGCATTTGTCTCAGAAGAGCTGGAATCACTTATTGAGCATTTTTCATGGGCCTCACGTGATAATTCTCAGATCTTATGATTTCCATGGCAGATTTAGAGCTAAAGGTAGCAGAGTATGGTCTTTGTTGTCTTCTCCTAGCTTGAGCCTGTCTCTGGGTATTATGATTTGTGGTCAGCTCTTTGCCACCTTCTCCTTTTGCAGCCTTTAACATCCTTTAAGCAAAGGAAGAGTGGTTCAACTTCCAGCTCTCCCTCCCGAAGACGAGGGAGCCGGGGCAGCAGAGGCAGCAGGTCAAGGTCACGCTCCCGATCCCCTGGCAGGCCACTTAAAAGTTCCAGAAGATCTGCCTCTGCCTCCCACCAGGCTGACATTAAGGAAACAAGAAGAGAAATTCTGGAAGTGAAATTGACTCCACTTGTATTGGTATTGACTTTATACTTATACAGTATTTTGTCTGTGTAAAGCACTATCTTCCCCTTTATGTAAATGTTTATTCAAATTATTTGCAGTCAATATTAAAATGTCATTGAGACATCAGATGTAAGGTGATAGCTTTGAAAGACTGCATAAAAATCAAATGTTTGGATAGAAAGTATAGTTTTTGGAAACATTCTTGTTCTCTCAGAATCATTAAATCAAAAATGATCTCTTAAATGGAAAGGTTTTCAAAGTGCGTGGTTGGAAAACAGTGGAGCCTGCAGATGCCACACAGTGTACAATAGAATGAGTATTTTAGATGGTAGACCAAACAGAAAACATTTTAAGCAAAAAGAAGTAGAATTATCTTGTATTCCATTCACTTAATATTGTCTCTTTTCTGGATAAAATATACACAGGCTTTTAATAACCTTAAATAAATTGGACTACATACATGCTATTTTGTAGCTAGACTTTTTAAATTTTCAAATATTAGGAATAATTTTTCATGGCATATTTTCCTGCACTTTTTGTTGTATCATATAGTATATATCAAATTATATAGATACAGTTGTTAAATGCAACTCCTTTGTTGATACATATCTAGTGTTTTTCCTTCTACATATTCAGTATTATAAGGAAGTATTTTTTAACAACATCTGATTATCTCCTTAGGATAAGTTCTCATATGTGGAATTGCTAGGTCTGATGTATGGCACAAACTAGAGACTTTTTACACATTGCCAGGTTGCTTCAAGAAAGTTTATTATGTCAGTTACCACTTGTGGATGAATGCCCATTTTTCATAATTGTTTTAATGCGATTGTCAGATTTTCAGCTCACTGTTCCGATGACTCGAGTAAGTGAGTTTGACTGCCGCTCTGAGTGGCTGTCTTTACCAGCCCGGTGACTCAGGGTAAGGGCACTTGCTGCATGCTGCTTTCTGGTGTACATTCATGACTTCCATTTTCAGTACTCAGGGGCTTGCATGTTTTCACTGTGATCTCCTAGTCCTAGTGACACAAAGCACAGCCTGGCTTTGCCCTTACCAGTAGAGTCTGGCCTACTGTGTTACATGTGCAAGGTCACATTTATGCTGTGTGCAGCTTTGAGCATCATGTCATGATTGCTTCTTTTGACTCCTGATTGTGACCTTTTGTAGTAATTTGCCTCATGGTGTTGAGTACCCTGTCACCATAAGTCAGTCAGTTAAGTGGACTGGGTTATAGTCAGCATGGTTTGAGTTGGCTTAGTAGCAGTATTACTGGATTCCATTTGTGGCTACTGTAGAGTGTATGTTGGATATTTGAGAAACTGAGCAGTTAAGTGTAGCTTCTAGGTGTGTCCGTTTGCTGCTAGGTGGCTTACTGGCACTTTAATAAACTCAAGTATATGTTGAATATTGTTACTGCTTAGTAAGACCTTGAGCTGAACCAGAACGTGATGTTGTATTAATGCCGTCCTTTGCCAGTGGCCTCCCAAATAATGCACTTGAACTTTTGTTTTTTTCCTATTGGTTTATTAGCATTTTGTTAATGATTTATAACGAAGCACAGTGATAGATTTCAGCTCTGCATTGCCTGAAAAATCTTTTGCATGTTAAATTCCTTTCCCTCTTCTGTCTGATGAGAAATTGTAAGAAGGCTGAGTTGAGAAACAGCACATGTAGGCAGCATGAAATTCAGAAGATTGGCAGTTTGTAGGTTCCTAGTAATACTGTTTAAATTTCCATTGCTGGATGTTTTGGAGGGAGTGAATGTCTTTTCCTCATTTTTTTGAACTTTTTTACCAATTTTTACTTTTATCTGCCTCAGCAAATACTGTATCTGACAGTGAACTTATTCTAACATTAAATATAATTACATTTGAAAAATGACAGATTTTATGTAGAAATCTATATACCAAAAGAGCCAAGACTGGGAAATACTAGTCAATTTTAACCCTTTTATTTTTAACAAAAGGAGTCTTGAATTCTTTAGAATTGAGGCCGTGAAAGTCTTTGGCTTGTGTTATTGCTTCATTTTCCAGTAGTAATTTTTTTTATCATTGCGTTCCTTTTTAATAAATTGCATTTCTTTTGATTAAAATATTTTATATCCAATTTAGAAGCCATATGGAAATAGCGTCAACATATATAATGGTGAACCTGAACACATCGAGAGGAACGACTTACCTCGTAAAAACATACAGGTACAAAAGTGTTCTCTTTCCTGTTGAAAGAATGGCATTTTTATTAAGTGACTTTTCCTCCAGAAGCACATTGGAAATTGTAATATTTTATAATCTGTTCTACTTCTGTTCTTAAGAACTATGTGTAATTTAACAAACTTATTCTTGTTAGAATACAGTTGTATGGAGATGCTGAATTAGTTATGTAGTAGCATTTGTGGTAATTGTTGACTATAGATGTTTAATTCTTTTTATTTTTTAATTAGGAGAAATTCATTCTGTCACAAGAAGGTAGTTACCTATCCACACAATACAGCCTTCGTCCAAGAAGACAGGAGGTCAAAGTAAAAGAAGTAGATTCAAGGGAAGAGAAACTTGTTCCAAAAGGACCTGCATCATTGAGAACCTTCAAAGTGTCCCCCCCGCAGAAGAAGGAATTGGAGTTTGGAGGAGTCCCTGGTAGGTGTGGAACCTGGTTTGAAGGGCAGGCAGGTAGGCATAGTTGCTCCAAGGTGTCCTGAAGAGGCCTATCAGTCTGTAGCATGTGAGGGAATGAGTAGGTGGGAGGCTGAGGGAAGACCTGTCCAGAGAAGGAAGAGCAGTGCAGAGGCCTGAGCTGGGAGCCTTGTGGGGCAGGCATGGAGTAGGAAGGATGCCAGCGTCGCTATATTTAAAACTTTCAGAGGTTTGTTAGGTTTTGAGCAGAGAAATACAAAGAAGTGATAAAGGAAGTTTGACCTGAGAGTTGTATACGTGAAGGGGTGGGTGATCAATTAGGGACAGGGAGATCTGATAATTAGATGGAGATGGCAGGACCTGATTTGGGCCGTAGTAGTAGGAACAAGCTGTATGCATAAAACAGGGTCATGGTGTCTGCTGTACCTGTTGCTAGACTGGTTAATTGTGAGGGTCAAAGATCTGCAGTGTGTACAGCCTTCAGGTTATTAAGTCGATGGAACTGATGAAAGTTTATTAGCAAGTAAGAAAATTCTTCTTGACCAAATGGTTCATAATCCTATATGGTTTACTTTGTGTGTTGTGAGCTATGAATAACCCTTGGTTAGTTGGTCTTTTACAGATGGTGTACAGCATCACTAAAAGTCTGTACATGTTACATGAATGTAATAGTATTTTAATTTTTAGAAACTTAACCATTGTAAAGTTTTTTGTTAAGATCAGATCAGTCTTAGATGTTCTGATCTTCAGTTTGCTGGCATTTGAACACTTTGTCTTCTAGTGGTTTCTCAGGTGGGATTTAGGTGTTGGGGGCTAGGTTTGTGTTTTTTTATCCTGCTCATGGGTGGCTGCCCTGGGAGGTTTTGATGGTACATTACAAATTGTTTTCAGCTAGCAGAGACCTGAGTTTTGACCTTAGTCGGGGGGGGAAAAAGCCGAATCATTTTTAAACTAAACAAACTGAATTGAGATTTGAGCCTTGAATGTTTACTAATTGTTTGCAGGTGTGTTCCTCATTGTGCTGGGCCTGCCTGTTTTCCTCTTCTTGTTGCTGTTGATGTGTAAACAGAAGGATCCCAGTCTGCTGAATTTCCCTCCTCACTTGCCAGCTTTGAACGACCTGTGGGAAACCAGAGTATGTGGAGTCTACCTCCTCTGGTTTTTTGTTCAAGCACTGTTCTCCCTGCTGCCGATTGGGAAGGTGAGCTTTTGCTGTTGGGCCCTGTTATGACGCTTCCTGGCCCCTTAAGTGAACGATTTTAATGGCTTTTCGGTCACAGGGTGGTGTTGCTTATAACTAACGGGAACTTAGTTGCTCCTGTCCTATAACACTTGCTTATTAAGTGGGGCTTCAAAACTTTGATTTAGATTTCTTGTGTAATTTTCTAACCCAAATAGAAAAGAATAAGTTAGTTTGCAAAATAGCCTAACTTTTGGTGTAGCGTTTTAAATTAATTGATAGACTCCTGAGCTCAGTGGATTCAGCCTGGGTCTTTTCCCTGTTTTTTTATTTATTTTTAATATGATGACTTTTTCATTTTTATCCCTCTCAGAATTTTTTTTGTCAAGAACATTCTGTGTACTTTTCAACTCATGTAATGTTTTTAAAATTGTTCCCATTGCTAAGGTAGTTTTCTTTCGGTAGAGCATTTTTCTTAGATATGTTTAAAGAAACATGAGACACCCTAAGCCATAAATAATTTACTTAGGGATCTTATTCTCAGGGCTTTGCAAGTTTACCAGCTGTAAACCAAAGGATCAGCTCTGTTGGGAGTGATTAGTGCAGTGGGAGGAGGGTGGAGCTGCAGACCTAATGTGTTCTGTCAAGCATTTCTGTGATAATGGATCTTGAGTCATTCTTACGGTAAGGTTCTGTTGTCAAATTCAGATTAATTGAGCCTAAACTAGATAATTATTTGGAAAAGTAGTTTTGGTGGTTGAAATACAAACTAACTAAAAAAATGTAAATATGTATGTTACACTGTATCTGTATATTCACAGACGAAAGCATGTGACCAAACAGTATTTATTAGCCATCTCTAATAGATAAGGATTATCTGAAATTGACAAAAGGCTTCTGCTAATCCTGTGTAATCAGGTTTTTTGTTTCTATTCTTTGTCATAGCTAATGAAAGAATGAAAAGGTACTGACAGATGGTACCATCTTGTATTGGGCACTTGAAATGAGTTGCTATGTTTCTGAATAGTTACTTGCAAGCAGACTTTTTGCTCACCCAGTTCACATTGTTACCTGAGTGCCTCTCGTGGGAGCCACCATGTGGCATGCTGTGGTGATGCAAGGAGAGGAACTGATGGTTCCTGTCCATGAGGCCTACCCAGGGCCTCTTACCAGAGATGTGACGATCACATGAAGTGCTTAAGTAACTGGATGAGCATTTATGTGTAAATAGTGGGGCAAATAAGTATGTGAGTACATGACATCAAATGGCACACGGACCATTGTAGATTGGATAAGTAGGGTAGAGCCTGTGTTCAAAAACACCTCATAGATGGGAGCCCGTGGGGCTGAACTGTTTTGCAAGCAGCGGGACCTACCAGATATTAAGGGATTTTAGGGACATTCAGTCATATGGTACATGGGATGGTAGAGAGGGTGGTAATTGCAGTAGTCTCCATAAGTTACTAATGAAATTTATAATTAAGATAAATTCCTGAAGGTGGAATTGCTTCATCAAAGGACATACCATTAACATTTTTGTAACATTACTATATTTTCCTACTACAAGATATCCTTTTTCTTGGGTATGATGAAATTTAAGAGATACTGGAAGATATATATTGATACGTATGTATATATAATATATAGGAATGATAGTAATGTGCCTTAAGAAATCTTAAATAATGGCCTTATTAAGATACAGTTAACATACTTTGCAGTTCACCCATTTAAAGTGTACAATCCAATGGGTTGTTTTTTAATTTTTAAATTTTTTTCTTTTAAGGTTGTAGAAGGAACACCTCTTGTTGATGGAAGAAGACTCAAGTATAGATTAAATGGTGATTCTTTTTAAAGACTCAAATTAATGACTTGATAACTTTCACACTCCTTATACTGTCAAAGCTGATTACACTAGAGTTAGTAAATTATCTCAGTAGTTTGAAGACATGTACATAAACCACTTATAAAAAGTGCCATTCAAAGTATCATAGCCCCTCAGTCACTCCTACTATCTCGTTTTCTTTTCTTTTTCCATTTTTTTGAGGCAGGGTCTCCCTCTGTAGCCCAGGTTGGCCTGAAATTTAGCATCCTCCTGCCTTAGCCTCCTGAGTGTTGGGATTAGGGGTGTATCTACCACGCCCAGCTAGTTTTTTGTTTTTAAATAGGATATGTCACTATTAGAAATATTGTACCTGTCTAGGATTTCACTGTCTGAGGCATTTTCATGGTCTACAAGGGAGCCAATCCAATCCAATCCCATCCTTGCTTGCTTGGCTCCAGCTGACTGGCCTCTGGTCTGTCTCTTGAATTTGCATCATACTCTCTTCTCAGCCCTTTTCCTGCAGTGCTTTTCCCCAAAATGTCTGTCAGCTGCTTCTTCAGCTTTGTCATGTCTGTGCTTGGAGAAGGCCTCGGGTTCTTTCCTCTCCCCTGCCCTGTTTTATTCTCTTGACAGTTGTGCCTTTCTGTTTACTCATTCAAGTCATATCCACGCTAGCATGAAATTTCCTGGGCTGGGACATGACTGTGCTCGCTGGTGACCTTGGGGCTAAGAAGATGGCAGGGGCAGGAGGGGGTGCTCTGGTGCATTAGTGCTGAGTGGGGAAGGAGTGTCTCACTCACAGTTCAAGAAATGGCATCCATTTTCCCTCTTGATCTGGGTGCCTCTCATGGTGTGTGCGTGCTTAGGGCATCACTCCAACTTTCCTATTTGAAGACTTTGATAAAGGACCATTAACTTGATTTTAAGAAATCTATCAAGTGATTTTCCATTTTACTTGATTGAATGGAGCCTTTTCATTGTCTTGAGAATTACATTACAGATGCCCCTCAACTTGTGATGTGGTCATATCCTCATGAACCCATTTCAGGTTGAAGATGCACCTGACCTCTGCACGTCCTGGCTTAGCAGCACCATGCACTGTAGAGTGTTGATGGGACCCTGTGATCATGTGGCTGGCCGAGGGCTGTGGCTTGCTGCACTGTCCAGCAACATTGCTGACCTGGGAGAGATTTAAATCTATAAGTATGGCTTCTTCTGGAGGTGTACTGCTTTTATACCATGGTAGAGTGGAGAGCTCCTCACTTGAGCCATCTGTGTATATTTTAATGCTTGGCCTTTTTATCCTTACTTTTCTGACTTTGGATCCTTTTTGTTCACTGCCTTCTCCAGCATCTCTCTCTCTATCTGAAATCATTCTACTGGGTTCTAAAAGAAGTGAAGATATTTCAGGGGCCACCTGCCTTTTAGTGCCAAGCATGAGGACTGTCCCACCTAGCTCAGTGCCAGACTCCTGGTGGGTGCTCGGTCCTTGTTTGCTTTGCTAACCTTGCGGATGGAACACACTTCAGAATCTTTGCCCCTCTAGTTGTGCGCCATGGCAGTTAGGGGCTCTGGGCAGAGGTGGGTTGTGTACTCTTTGCCCTGTCGGGTTACTTGATAGCGGTGTGTTGGGAGTTTCTCTGTCGGGCACCAGTTAACTTCTAAGTGATGTTTTTTTGCCTCCCGCTGAGGGGTGTGGTATGTTGAGAGACTGAGCAGAGCCCTTGGATGTGAACCTGTTGGAGCCAGTGGAGCAAAAGCTGGTCTAGTTGCTTAATTCTTTACAAAATTTCCTCATCTAGTTATTCTGGTTCTAGTATTACGAGATTTCTTTTCATGAGATTTTACCACTAAGGAGATTCCTAAGAAACTTTGAATGACTATTTTTAGTCTACATAGGTTAGAGAACAAAAAACTGCTTTATCTCTACCTTTTTAAAAATATTTATACATTTTATGATAATTAAATGAATTTTTAAAAGCTAAAAGTTATTCTTTGAAATAAACTTGAAATTGTCGAACATGGATTTAGATAGTAAATAAATTTGCATTGGCTCTTTTACTTTACAAAAGCTTGATTTTAGAATTCCTTTATAAATAGTGGCTACCATTTTCCTGTGTTTGATTGTATCCAAATATAATTTGATTTGGAACACAGCTCTTTCCAGGCATCTGGCTCCCGAAAGCGAAATGATTTCTCTAGCCAGAAGATGAAACTGTTGGTTCTAGAGTCTTTCTCTTGGCCAGTGCAGCAAGCATGGCTTGTGGATCTCCATGGGGAGCTTTGTAATCTGGCTGTGCCCGAATGTGCCTTCTTCTTCATGGTGGCGGCCCAGCCTTGGGCATTCCTGTTGTCCTCTCTCCTCTGAGGGTGGGGTCTTGGGATCTATATTGTAGATTCTTGTGAAGCCATTATATCGACAAGCTAATTCAAGTACAGATATTTATAATGTTACACCTTTTAAGGTTACCATTAGTTAGTGGCATTAGGCTTTAAAATGTGCACTTGGCCTAGCTTTATTAATAATTGGCAGAGTCAGTGCTGAGAGGAAAGGAAGGACCAGACTGTCTAAAAGGGCAGCTGTGGCGCCCTCTGGAGGTCCATGTGGCAGATTCCAATTCTAAGGAGATTGAAGGTTTAATAAATTATAAAATAAGTAATAAAATACTTGACAGTGTATTAGAATCCCAAACAGTTTGGACTAAGTGCATTTTGGGGTACTTTTTGGCTTTTTAACAGTGAATTTCTCTATGCCTTGCCTTTTAGCTTTCCCTTAGTTAATAGCAGACAATAAGCCAGGCATTGGTGGCTTATGCTTATAATCCCAGCTATTTGGAAGGTGAAGATAAGAGATCTCATTTGAGTCAGCCAGGATAAAAGAAAGTTAGTGTGACCCTGTCTCAAAGAACAAGCCAGGTGTAAGGGACCCACATCTGTAATTCCAGCACTTGGGAGGCCCACGAAGAGGAGGATCGAGAGTGTGAGGCCAGC